CTAGGACCAATAGGTGAAAAGTTACACTCATTTGAAAAAACCTTGTATCACCAAAATGTCCAACTCCGGCAGTTCTTGAACGATAGAGCGATAGAGAAATTTTGTGTCTGACCTTCTATCTAATAGTACTAACCTTGGTGCAAATTTCATTCAAATCGGAAGACATCGATTCTATAAGATTGTCATTCTGTTTTTAATTTTCACAATTTAATATAGAAACTTTTCTAAGTCAAGGAAACTTACTTACAATCAACAAGTATTTCCTTTTTTGGGGAATTAACAAACCAAAAATGCGTACTTCTTTGAAGTATGTGCTTTAGTGCTTTCATCTACAGTTTGTTTAGATCTTTAGAGAAATTAAAAGAGTTATGATCAGGGAAACCAAAATGTGCAAATGCGATAAAAAAATTCACACGTTTTTCATACCCCAAAATTAAACAAAAATCGGGATTTATATCACTGATGGAATCTGCTTTTTTAGCATTTTATTTGTTTCGAATTTATTTAAAAATTTCGTCTATTTAAATTAATATTTTCCTTTAAAATTCGCATTTCTTTGGTTAATTAAAAGTCCAATAAACCGCAAAAAAATTAAAAAGTTTACTTTTTATACAAGAAATAGCTAATGTTGTAGTACAGTTTTAAATAGTAACAATTATAATGTTCAATATTCATATATATGGATATTAGGGTGGCCCCTTTTCTATGGGGAAAAAAAAAGAAAATACTGCTACTACTAATATAAAATTTAACAGAAACGGTTTTTTTGTTTTTCGAAATTTAAACCCCAAGATAAAATTCCAAAGAATTATAATTTTTTAACTTAACATAAAAACGTTTTTCGCAGACCTTTCATATGAAAGCAAAATGGAGTTTTTTTTGTAAGAAATGTGTACAAAATTATAAAAACCACAAAAAATTACCTCTTTATACTTTGATTTATAAATTGATTTCTTTTTTCATTTTCGGTGGGAACATTAGAAAAATCGCATTTTGGGGCCATCATAATATTCATATACTTACATGCTTACCTATACCAATTCATACATATGTATGTATGTGCTATATACCATGATTTTAATTTGATTTGGTTGCCATAAATATTTTAATATGTCTTAATTAAAAAATATAGATATAATACATATAAATAGTATAGTAATTGTAAATAAAAATTGTAAAAGATAAAGCTACTAAATATGTACAATAGAGTGTCCCGAGGAACAGCCTTTTTAAGAATTTTATTAGTGTGATTTTTGAAAAATATAATATTTCCGATATTTTTGAAATGGGTTCAAAAATTCCGTAATTTTGAGCTGATTACGGCAAAATTAATTTTAAAATTTTTCTAGAATATTTTTGGTTCACAATATGGGTTGGAGAGGCATATTATTTTCGCTTTTTAACGAAATGGGTGTCAAAATTGTCGTAATTTTTAGCACATACAGAAATATATTTAAAAAATAGTTTGGGAATTTTTTTGAAATTTATATGCCCCTTATAATACAATAAAAGTCGTTTGCGGACCAGAAATACACTAACAATAATTTTATTTATTTTTCCCGCGATAAGCTCAAAATTACGAAATTTTTGACACTGAATTCGAAGAGATTTTAGAAATTTTTTCTGAGCATATTGTACTGAGATCAAAATTTTCAATCGCTGGTAAGGAACTGAGGATCCTTTCAAAAAAGTTATTTTTTTAATTTTCTCATATTAAGTACATTGCAACGCATCGTTCTAGAGGTATTCCTCCTAAAAAGTGGTCCACGGGACACCCTAATGTACAATATCAATCAATATTAAAAATATTTTTTTACAAATCAATTAATTTAATTTAATTAGTTCTCGCAATGATGACGGCGATGACGGTTTGATATTTTTAAATAATGAAGAACAAATAAATTTAAAATCAAAGCAGCAAATACATAAGTTTAAATAAATTAAATTGCCACAATGTAATCAATATTAATTCAGTTACAGTTTATTGGGTCAATTAATAAATTTCTATTAAATTTTAATAAAGTAACAAAATATAGGAAATAAATTAAAAAAAAAATTAGATGTAATTATGAATTTTAGTTAGAACAAGTAAGAGTGTTATAATCAAATCATGTGCTGTAAATAAAAGTTAATTTTGGAAGGTTATCCTATATTTGGAAAGTAAATAATAATGTGTTGGGAGTTTAATGGGGTCTTGAGTATGGAGGTGTTTGTTGCAGTGAACAATATCTTCCAAAAAGTAATTTTTGTTGAATTTTAACTTAATGTCATGTACTGATATTGTGCAAATGAAAGTTAGGGACCATACATGAGATCTAATAAGAACTGATCCGGGTAAAGCCCCCTTTACACGAGTACACAAGTAATATGTCAAAATTTTGTGTAGAATAGTACAGATGACATCATCTAAACGCAATACGTAATAAAACAATCACACATTGAGAGAAAATACGGATGTAAAATTTGAAAGTCGTTTTTTTTTTTTTGTATCATTTTTTGAAGTGATTCAAAGAACAAGCATGTCGCATTAGATCAGTGATGTGAAACAGCTGTTTCCATCTTACTTTGTTATCGTTTTACACCAATCGTGTAAATATAAAAAATATAAATCATTCGAACTTTTATTCTTTTTTTTTTCTTTGTCATACGGATGGAATTTCATTTCACTTTTTTATTAGACTTTACGTACGTAAAGGGTCCTTAAGGAGATTTTGCTTTCTTTAAAACTAGTTTGTGGTTAATTTTGTCGCTTTACTTGTATTTTAAGCCAGTTATGAGCCTTAAAGTCGTTTTCAAAAGGGGACTTTTTATGAGGGGTAGTGTCAATTCAGATCCGATCCTCATGAAATTTAATACAGATATTTTGGTTATTACAAAACTTATTTCTGTCGAATTTTATAATGTTATTTTTAAGTGTTAAAGTCATTTTCTGTAGGAGGCCTTATATGTATATGGGGGATAGCGTCAATTATGGACCGGTTCTAATAAAATTTGGTAGATATATACTTATGTAATTTTATAGCTATAATGTTATTTTTAAACCGGTAATGAGGTTTAAAATGATTTTCTTGAGCGGACCTTATATGGGGAGTACGCTCATTTATGAACTGATCCTCATAAAATTTGATTGAAAATTTGTATATATATAAGCCAGTAATGAGCGTTAAAACATATGATATATGTATGTATTAAATATTCTTGATGACTTTCTTATATACCCAGCAAAAACTAGGTAATGGCTTTCAATTGTAATTACTTACCTAACAACATACTTTTTAATGACTACTTCATATCGTCTGGATTACATAGAAGTAGTATAATAAGTTCTTACTAATAATGTGTTATATAAATACTTTCTAATTCATTAGTCATCTTGCCAGTGAAGATACAGAAGCTGTATATGTGTTTTTCATGCGATTTACAATGACTACTTTTTCCAATTACCTGTAATCGTTTGTGGTAAGTAAATGCCTCCAATGACATCACTGTGTTAAAATAATGACATAAAATGCTATTGTGTAAGTAAATTTTAGCATTTTAACCCCTTACATGGTAATGAAAGTTTTTACTAGGTATGTATGTCAATACTGATGACTACCAAATGACTTGTTAGGATATTACTATTACTAAAACTTTTTCAACAAGAAAATAATCATCATCTGGTTTAAGATTATTTTAAAACGTATTATTAAAAATAGATGTCATCACATTTTTCGTGAACCAGTTTCTTGAAAAAAAAAAATATTTTCGGAATATGGAAGAAATAGCTATCTAAACAGTCTTGAATAAGTTTTGTTACGTATAAGTTAAAACTTTGACCCACTGTTACTCAGAATGTTATTGACCGATCTTGTTGACAAATTGTGTCTAATATACTGTTCAATAGGACTCACATAACGATCGGAAGACACCGGTTTCAAAAGTTGGGTCACTTGGCATGAAATCCCCATATATATTTTAAAGCTTTGAATTTCTTAATTTGTAGATTCTTTATCCGACTTGAGTTTTTGTCCTCAATATTTTAATATTTTATACGCTCTGAATGATTAGGGTTCTATTATTCAGGTTCAAAGGCGTTATCAAGTTAAAACAAATTTTTAATTGGAATTTTCACAAATTTTTTTCTTTTGGTAAATTTACTTTCAAATAAAAAGAGATATCGACTATTTCAATCAAATAAAAATTGGCAATGTTGTGATTTTTTTAAAAAGTGTTGGTCAGAAATGCACTAAAAGTTCCAAAAAATTGTTAAAAAAAAATCTAGAACCAACTTACAACATAATAGTTACTTTTTACCAACATAATAGTTACTTTTTAAATAGAAGGAGAGTTTGTACTTTTAATGCTGTTTGAAAAATAATATTTGAAGAAATAACTCTTCAGCGCATGCGCAGGTCTCAAGCATCAAATTATGAGTAAACATAAATCGATATCATTATGAGAAACCACAACGCATGAATGAATGAATAATGAATCGGCTAAATCGACGAATGATTTTCGGTTTGTTTACATTGCCATTATTTTTACACACGAAACTCTATTTGTAATCGTTTGTACCTATGTTGTTATTGTACTTATTACATAAAACAACAACATCGAATAGATGAAGAAAAAAAACAAACACCAGCAACATTAACAAAAACTAAATTGTAATAGATTTTTGCTGCTTCAAACATTATCATCTTCAGTCGTTGAAGATGAGCTTGAAATACGAAACATTAAACAAAACAAAAACAAAGTTAAGAAAAAGATACACAAAACAAAATTTAAAGAAATATAGTTTGCGATGTTTTTCTATTTTACTCTTAACTATCATTAAAGTTTTTTTTTTTTTTTTTTTTGTTATTTCTTTATTTTTCAAAATTTGTAACTGACGTTGTTGTTTCGTTTTAAATTTGAATTGCATTTTTTTCCATTATAGTTTTTTATTGTTGTTTTTGCCTTTATGTGAAAAAATCGTTACATTTTGGTATAAAAACCAAAGTAGAGGCTCAATGGAAATCATAGTTTACATTCAACTATCGGAATAAACACATAAAAAAACCAACACAGTTTGGAATAAATACATAAAGTATTGAGGATTCCTATTTCTTCCTAAATAATAAAAGTGAATAAGAATTGGGTTAGTGTTATAAAATTAATTTTCTATATAAAGTGTACTAAAAAAAGAAAAAAATATACTCTAGTGTAAAAAATTAATTTTAAATAATAATTTCCTGAAGAGAGAAAAAATCAATAAATGGAACTGGTGTTACTGAATACACATCCCTTTGATTGATAAACTATAATCCAAAAAAATATATACTATATAAAAAGTTTCAAATCATAAATAGGAACAGTTAAATGTTGTAATTTTAATAATCATTTTGAATAATTTTATATAAATTTTAACAACTAATGGCAATATTTAGTGAAACTTCAATTTATTACTAATTCGCATGTTCGAAGAAACTGGATACTAAATGAAATCTATATTTCCAAAATATGGTACAAGTTTTGATATGCTTACTTTTGAAGATTTTGAAAGAATTTGGCAAATTTATGCAAAATTGATCACAACTAAAAAATTCTATATAAAAAAAAGGAATTTAAAAAGTAGTAATATTATTCAAATATGTGAATATATATAAAATATGTCATATCTGTAAAATATGTGAATTTATCAAAAATTAAAAATTTGACAAAAAAAAAAACATATATTCCGATAATTTATTTAAAAATCTTTCTATTAATTTATTACATTTTGCTATAAACCAAATGAAAATGTTTGAAAATTCTGTAAAATTATTAAAAAATAAAGAATTTATCCATAATTTCCAATTAATGAATAGGTTCCCAGCAAAAATAAAACGAAGTACTTCCAAAAGAATAACATTTATCACCACTTCAAAAGTAGCATTAATTGAATTTTTTTTTCCTTCTGAGGAAGTAATATTTAAAGACTTCCGAAGAAGCGAAAATAATCATATTTTTTCAATGTTGAAGATATATTTTTTGTTCTTATATTTTTATGAGATAAAAAATTTTATATTTGGACTTTTGTATTATATGTGTCTGTATATTACCCTAATTATTGTTAATATTATTTAAGTTAAATTAGTTGTATTCTATAATACTACAATTTCACTTCCGAATAACTTCCAAAAAAAGAGCATTGAAATTACTTCTTTAGAATGACTTCAGAAGTAGTGAATTTAGAATCAAATAAAAAGGGCATCCCTCCTATGACAAGCCTGTGTTAAAATCATCACTTCTTCAGGTCTTTTCCAGTACTTCCATGGAGTAAATTCTACTTCTTTTTCGCTACTTTGGAAGTTCTTAGGAATTACGTCTAGGAAAGAGAGTTTCTTAAGTGGGTAGTGTTCACTAAATGTATTATCGTCCTAAGAATTTGCCAAGTAGAGTTCGTGAGGAATATTATATCCGCAATAACATCCGAAAATGGCAAAGAAAGTGCTACAGAGTTTCACTGTCCTCTCCACATGCTCTACATTCGTCTGAATCCGCACATTCAATTTTGTATATCTATATCCGTAATCCTCTTAGAATATGTACCATCATAATAAATTCTTACTTGTTTATTTTGAGGAGACATCTTGTCTGCTCTCGTTAGGGTCATCCCATGGGATTTTTATGATTCCACACTTCGTTTCATTATTCCAAGGGGCCTTACGAGATTGTCAGCTCTAAAAAATCTCTGTACAAAACATTTTCTATATCCCGATAATTTATCTAAATATTTTCTATAAATAAATAAATTATCCAGAAACTTCCTAGAAAATTTATACAAAAAATTAGTCGAACAAATTATTTTTTAAAACTCCCAACAAAAACAACTTATACTTACTCAACAACTTACTTTTCAATGACTTTTACATACCGTCAGCATTACTTAGAAGGAGTCTAGAAATGACTTACAAATAATATATTATGTAGTACTTAGTTTTTAGCTTTGACATATATATTGTTTTCGCACTTTGTTTTTAACACAAACGTATCCTCGTAGGTAATTTTTAATTTCTCAGAAACAAAACTACTTATCCCGTAGTAAGTACTTACCTAACTCCCTATTTGTAATCAAGCCTCCAATATCATCTCCGCGTTAAAATAATGACTTACTTTTCAATGTAAGTTTTTGCTGGGCTGTTCTAAATTGAAATTTTTTTAAAAAATTTCTTCAAATAAAAGTAATACGACTTTTTTTATTTCCATATTCAGAATCAGCAAATCAAATAACACTGGGATTAGTGAAATTTATTTAGAAAAATGTTTCATCGTTGACCTGTGTAATAAGAGATTTCGACAGAAATATTTTTTTAATAAAAAATGTATTAAAAATTGTCCTATATGTACATCTTGTTTTAGGCTATATACATACATATCTAGCATATCCAGGGACTCTATTCAATAGTTGTTATCTCGCATTTTCATGAAAATAAGTTTTTAATGGCAAAATATTCCGCAAACAATTTCACATCTTTGATATAAATTTCAAACACAAAGATGTATTTTTGGCAATTTTATGGCATTTTGAAATTTATCTATATTAAAAAAAAAGAAAAATTTGTGAATGCAAAACTTTTTATATTTTTCAAAAATTGTTTTAAACTCTATTAGTTAGGATTACTTTCTGTTGCAAAACAGAAACAAGTTTTCTTATTAATTTGGACATGCCTAATGGTTTTCGAGATACTAATCATGATGATGCTAATTAGTTTAATTTTATTGTTGTGTTCAACGTATATAATGTATTATATATAATATTTAGCTGTATATCAATAGCAACTAAATCGAAATAAATTTAAAAAAAAATCTAACTCATAACCTTAACAAATCTGCTCCATATTAAAAAGTATTATGAATTTCACTAATAAATAGTGTAAATTTCAATCAATATATTGCCAAACGGGAAACATTGACCGAAGATCTCATGACATTGATTAATATCCCTGAGCTAAATAATTTTTCAAAATTTATCCATAGTAATATAGTTGGGATTGTAAGTAATATTTAAAAATGGCTGTATTTTATTTTAATAAATTAAATAAATTTGTTACCCCATATAATCGCAAACAAAAATACTAAAACACAAAAACTTACATCACGCTTACATCAAACTATAAAGCCATAATTTTGGTGTAAACGTTTATACTGGGCATGCTAGTGGTGCTGATGATGATGCACAGCATCAGCATAGCCAATATGATTAACTCATGCATATTACATGACTCAAAAAACATGCTACTTGAAAAAAAAAAAAAAAAAACATTGAAAAATAAAACCACCAGACAATTCAATCAGTTTTAGTCTTTTTCTACAATTTATAACAAGTGTATTTTTCCATCAATGTATCAATTCGTTCGTATGAACAAACGTACAAATCATATTAAATCATATCATATCATTTTACATCACAAGTCATCCATAGGTTATGGTCTATGTTCAAAGTAACATTGAAACAAAATTATTAAAAATGTTGAAATATACACTTTTATAGCTCAAAACAAATATGAGTATCATTGTACAAAATATAATTAAATTCCGCAAAAAAAAGAAGACAAATATTCAGATGCAATGGAAAATAAGTTTAAAAAAAAGAATTGAGATAAAAAATATGAAATAAAATAAAAAAAAAAAAATTGAATAACTTGCTATAAATTGCAATTTTCCATAAGGAAATTTGTAACTAACACATTTGTATTTACATCCATACATACTATGGAAATACAGCTACAAATACTATTGCTAATGCAGATAAAGAAAATCTCTTTCATATAATATGTAAAAATTTCAATTGACTTTAAGTTTACCATAGAAAAGTATTCTTATCTGAATACTTTACACACACACACACATACATACATTTATGCAGTTTTGCAACTAACATTTACTACAATATCCTTGCATACTTAAAAATGTATAAATGTTTGTGTATGTGGTTGTAAAAGTACTGCCTAAAGTTATCTGTATATAGTATACCCAGCAAAAAAAGAACTTCCAAAGAAGCGAAAAAGAAGCAGAATTTACTACATGGAAGTACTGAAAAAGACCTGAAGAAGTGATGATTTTAACACAGGCTTGTCATAGGATGGATGTCTTTTTTATTTGATTCCAAATTTACTACTTCCGAACTCATTCTCAAGAAGTTATTTTAATGATATTTTTTTGGAAGTTATTCGGAAGTGAAATTTTAGTATTATAGAATACAACTAATTTGATAATATTAACATTAATTAGGGTAATGGACACATTTAATACAAAAACCCGAATATATCATTTTTTATCTCATAAAAATGTAAGAACAAAAAATATATCTTCAACATTGAAAAAATATAATTATTTTCCCTTCTTCGGAAGTCTTTAAACATCACTTCCTCAAAAGATAAAAAAATTCAATTAATGCTACTTTTGAACTAGTGATAAATGTTATTCTTTTGGAAGTACTTCGTTTTCTTTTTGCTGGGATAGGTGTAGAAGCCTAAGATGTTTCTCATGAATTTTTAAAACGTAAAAGAGGCTTAAATTTTTAGACTCCTCCTACAAAGGAAAGAAATACATATATATGTTTTATAAAAATTTGTTCAGTGTAACTACAATTTTTGCTAAAATCTGCTATTATATTTTTAAAACTTATATAATATAAGCAATTTGAAAAATTAAAACTAGTTTGAGTGAGAAAATATAGTCATAAATGAAAAAAGCCTTTCAGACCACAGTTTCAAACTTTCAACAATTTTATTAAGCAAATTTTAAAATTTTAAGAAAATCTCCATGTGACATATGGACAATAAAGAAGGGGATAAAATAGTAATAAAATTAGGTCGATATCTCTAACAGATTAGCGGTACATGAGATTTCAGTTTTAAGGATTTCGGAGAAAACAATTTTTTGGTAATATTTTTGAAAATAAGCCTTAATTTCTTATTGTTACACATTTCATAAAAAACTTTCTCAGTATATAAAATTCCAGATAATAGGAAACATACACCTGAAGTTTTAGTAAAATCGAATAATTTTAACCCATTAAATGTGAAGGTCAAACTCAACCTATGTAATATTGAAGAAATTTTCTTCAAACTTTAGTAAAGTATTATCTAGTTTTCAATCGATTTAAATGAAACTTAGGAAAAATATATATATGAAGACCTGTTTTTATGATGACATCGAAAAAATCGAAATTAACCTTTAAACGTTAATATATTTTTATCTATATAAATCGTAATCGATAAAGTCAGGAACTACGGCAACTGGTAGAACAAAATTTCAAATATATGTTTCAGGGATCGTGAGAAGTGTTCCGGTAAAGTTTTAATTTTGTCCGACAGATGGCGTCGAAGTTTTTATTTTCAGTCAATTACACATAAACCACTAAAACGATTATTTTACAATCCACATTTCCAATCAAAGGCCTGCAACGCGGACCGGGCACTACTAGTAATTATATAAAATGTCCGTAATATATGAACTAAATATTCAGTGACATTTTGCGAGAAAATTGTCGGTGATAGAGAAAAACAGATATCAGATACGAGTTCAAAATCTAAAAATACATTAAAATCAGTCGAATTGGTTTCGAAAGTTTTTACAAACCTTCATTTCGTTGGCCAGTATAATTTTTATATAATTTCACAAAATAGTTGTTTTAAAGAATTTTATTCAAAAATAATATTTTAGTTGCTTTTAAAGCTATAGGGTTGCCACAGTTTTAAAAATTTAACTAAAAAAGTCTGTTAAAACTCTCGTGGACCTTCCTTTACGTGTTGACAAAATGTTGTTAAAATCGGGAAATTTAAAATGAAATTAATTCTAAGCCGATCTACGAGATAAGCAAGAAAAATAAAATATTCCAAAATATCCTCAATACAGTACTATTATTGGTACCATATAGGGTGATCGATTATTCGACATTTTCCAAAAACCGGTTTTCGAATAGTTCGAATAGTTAACATTTCAAAAAATCCGGTTGATATTTTTCAAATTCAGAAAAAACCGGTTAACCGGTTTTTCATAATAAATAAAAATGTATATGTTAATTTGAAGAAATTAATGTTTATGTTTAAATTTGATTAATAAAACATGGCCCGAAATGATTTTTAACAGTTTAACAGATTATAACTTTAGATCTAGTCGTCTGATTTACATTATTTCTTTAATATAAAAAAAAATTAGGAAAAAAGTGGACACTTCTTTTAAACATAAGGTACTATGTAATCCTAGCTTATTCTAAAGCACTTTTAGGAAATTTTCATAGGCATTCCAACACTTCCATAATATTTCAGCGGTAAATTAATTATTGTAATTGGAATATAATCTTAAGATTAATAAAATTTTATCAAACAGTTATCAATTTTACAAATAAAATTTTTTAATTAATTAGGAAAATCAAAAAAGTTTAACCAATGGTGCTTTAGAAAAATATATCCTAGTTCTTGGACTCGAATATTTTTAAAATTTAAACGGGCTGTATTATTTACTTCAAAATTCCATTTAAATAATCTTTGAATACAAAGCAAATAAAAGTATTCGAAACCGGTTTTTAAAAAGTGAAAAAACCGGGTTATTCGATATTCGAAAAATCAACATTTAGAAAAAACCGACACTGGTAAAGCGGAAAAAACCGGTTGAAAAACCTAGTACCATAACGCCATGAAAGGTTGACCTATTGATATAAAAATTTATATAAAATATTCTCTCTTAGATATACTGCCACTGAAACTGATTTTCGAATTGATTATATAATATTCGACTCAGACAAAAACAACGCTCTTGGTAATAAAATGTTTAAGTAATTTTTTAATGATTTTAAAGATAATCTCATTAGCAAACATATTAGCAAATAAAGTCAGTAGGTTTCCACACTTAAGCACGATATTAACAGTAAATTAAAAAAAAAACACTTTTTTGTTATTAAATTACACTTTTTTACAATTTGTTGTTTTATGTTGGAAAATGTGTAGAAGAAAAACATGAATAAACTACTAATTACTCTTGAATTCTTCTGAATGGGAAGTTTTAAATCATTTAAACGTCAATTAAAAACGCATAACATTTTATTTACTTACAATTGGATTTGTGTTTTTTTTTATAAACTCATTTACATTATCTTGTTTTCCCAAGATACGCAATATGTCATTCGCAAAACAATGTTCGATGAATCGCCGCTAGATTCGCAGAAAATCTTTTCAAGATGACCTCGCTTTATGCTTAAACATAATCTTGTAATAATCTTTTCTGCTGTTGGTTTTTTCTTCTTCTTTTTTTGCGTCTACACGTATATAATACGTGTTACAGATGGAAAATCTATTTTGGTTTAAAACGTACTTGTAAATGAAACTTTAAAATTGATGATTTGTTAAGATTGAATAGTAAACGTAGCGTAAAACTATAATAAATTAAGTAAAATTTGCTGTGTTTTGTTTTTGCACATTTGCAAACATTCAATAAAAAAAATTTAAATACACCGGGAGAAAGACAGAATTGTGTGTTCAAATGAATTTAACAGTTTGTTCTTATACTTAATTTTTAAATAGTGTATAAATATTCTGAAAAATTTAGAAATGTTTTCAGCATTTTTACTTTTAACATACTACACAACAATTTTCTTTCTCTAAGTGTAGCACTTGGTTTTTAGTTTTTCTCTTGCAATATCGTCTTATTTGCGTACATGCCACATTTTGTTGTTAAAATTACCTTTTAGTTTTTTCTTAGTTTTTATACTTCATTTAAATTAATAATTAATTTTTACTTTAAGTACATAACACGAAAATTATAAATTTCAACACTTTATGGGTTTTTTACTAATAAGTTTTTTTTTACATTTCTTATCTAATTGCAGTTCAGAGTAGAAGAAATTGTGGCTCTAATTTTGGTTGTAGTCTAATCTAATTGAAATCATTATGAAATTGTTTACCACCACAGCTACGGTAAGTATTGTGAATCTTGGTTGTGCATTGTTTTACCGAAGAAAATACACAATCATGTAATTTTGGGGGTTTTAACGGTTTATTTTTCTACTATTTCGTTATCTTTGTCTTAATTGCAGCTTTTATGCGTTGCTTTATTTTCATTAAGTGGGGAGGCCGCAAAACGTGAGGCACCCATAAGCAATAGTTACTTACCTCCTTCTTCAGGTCAAAAGGGCAATGGTGGCGGTTATCCTTCAAATACAAATTCATATCTGCCTCCCGCTTCGGGTCCCGCTGCTAATAGTTATGCCCCTAGTGCTCCATCGGGAGGTCCTTATGCAAGTGCACCAGCCGCTCCTTCAAAATCTTATGGTCCTCCTCCTAGAAGTCCTTCATCTAGTTATGGCCCACCACCTCCCAGTCGACCCAGTTCAAATTATGGGCCACCGAAAAAGAATGGTTCACGTCGCCCAGGTGGTCGTCCATCTTCCAGCTATGGTCCACCAAAAAAACCTTCTTCTAGTTATGGACCACCTTCCCGCCCATCGTCAAGTTATGGTCCCCCAAAATCATCTCAACCATCTTCTTCATATGGAGCACCTTCGAAAACACCATCTTCATCTTATGGTGCTCCTTCGAGACCTTCCTCCAGCTATGGTGCTCCTCAAAAAGCTCCATCATCTAGTTACGGAGCTCCTGCCAAGGCCCCTGCTTCTAGCTATGGTGCACCTTCAGCTCCTTCTAATGGATATGGTGCTCCCGCAAAGGCTCCCTCTTCTAGCTATGGTGCACCTTCTAATGGCTACAGTGCTCCTGCGAAGACTCCCTCCTCAAGTTACGGTGCTCCTTCTAACAGTTATGGTGCTCCTGCCAAGGCTCCCTCTTCTACATACGGTGCTCCTTCCAGCAGCTACGGTGCACCTGCTAAGGCTCCTTCTTCAAGTTACGGTGCCCCATCTGCACCTTCAAGCAGCTACGGTGCTCCTGCTAAAGCTCCCGCTTCAAGCTATGGTGCCCCTGCTAAAGCTCCATCTTCAAGTTACGGCGCTCCTTCTAGTAGTTATGGTGCTCCTGCTAAAACCCCCTCCTCTAGTTATGGTGCTCCAGCCCAAACCCCATCTAGCAGCTATGGTGCTCCCTCAAAGGCTCCTTCATCAAGCTATGGCGCTCCAGCTCAAACTCCGTCATCTAGTTATGGTGCACCTTCCCAAGGATCTTCTAACGGTTTTCAACCTATTCATCCACCATCTACAAGCTATGGAACACCAGCTAAAGCTCCAGCATCTAGTTATGGAGCTCCAGCCGCCTCAGCTCCTTCATCTAGCTATGGAGCTCCCTCATCTAGCTACGGTACTCCTGCCGCTCAAGCTCCTTCATCAAGTTATGGCGCCCCCGCTGCTGAAGCACCTTCATCTAGTTATGGCGCTCCAGCCGCTGAAGCTCCTTCATCTAGTTATGGTGTACCTTCCGTTCCGTCATCTAGTTATGGTGCTCCAGCTGCACAAGCACCATCTTCTAGCTATGGAGCTCCTGCTGCACAAGCGCCATCATCTAGTTATGGTGCTCCTGCCGCTCAAGCTCCATCATCTAGTTATGGTGCCCCTGCTGCCCAAGCCCCATCATCAAGTTATGGTGCCCCCGCCGCTCAAGCTCCATCATCCAGTTACGGTGCCCCCGCTGCTGAAGCTCCTTCATCTAGTTATGGTGCCCCCGCCTCTCAAGCTCCTTCATCAAGTTACGGTGCTCCTCCTTCATCTAGTTACGGCGCTCCAGCTCAAGCTCCATCATCTAGTTATGGTGCCCCTGAAGCGCAAGCTCCATCATCAAGTTACGGTGCTCCAGCTGCCAGTAGTTATGATGCTCCTGCATCTCAAGCTCCATCTTCTAGTTACGGTGCCCCCTCTCCCTCATCCAGTTACGGAGCTCCTGCACAAACTCCATCATCCAGTTATGGTGCTCCTGCTGCCCAAGCCCCATCATCCAGTTACGGAGCCCCTGCCGCTGAAGCTCCTTCTTCTAGTTACGGTGCCCCAGCAGCTCAAGCTCCTTCATCTAGTTACGGTGCCCCAGCTGCTCAAGCTCCATCTAGTTATTATAGTCCTGCTGCTGAAGCTCCATCATCTAGTTACGGTGCCCCTGCACAAGCACCATCATCTAGTTATGGTGCACCTGCACAAGCTCCATCGTCTAGTTATGACACCCCTGTTCAGGGTCCCTCTCCCAGCTACGATGCTCCAGCACCGTCTTCGAGCTACGGAGCTCCATCCTCCAGCTACGGTGTTCCATCCCAACAATCTGGCTCTTCCAACGGCTACTCATCAGGTGCTTCGTCTAGTTACGAAGTCTCAGCTGAACAGCCCTCATCAAGTTATGGTGCCCCAGCCGGACCTATATCCAGTTACAATGCACCATCAGCACCTAGCTCATCCTATGGAGCGCCTTCACAACAAAGCAGTTCATCTAATGGGTACAGCGCATCATCTTCCAGTTATGCTGCTCCATCTTCATCATACAGTGCTCCATCAGTGCCTTCATCATCCTACGGTGCCCCATCAAATGGTAACGGTAATGGAAATGGCGGCAGCGATGGTTATTCATACTCTGGCCCTAGTAAAGTACCTGACACCTTACCCCAAGGATATTCCACCGAAGGTGGTTACTCTTATTAGAAATAGTAACAGTAAATCAGGACTACATATCCAATGTTTGTACCTGATTTAGCAACGTGCCTTAATATCATTCTGCTCATTATTCTATAGCGACATATTTCACTTACATGAACATGAATTTCGAAAATCATTCACTTAAAAAATATAAGGGATTGTTTTGAAATTTGCACAATTGCAAAAGATGAAGCAATCTCTTAGATCTACTTAATGTTTATTCCACTTTAAACTGAATGTAAATTATTTTATTCTTTTTTAATTCGATTAATTAAATTTAAGTATTATATAAAAAATTACACAAAAAAAAACTAATAATTTTTATATAAAAAAATAAAAATGAATTTATAAAACAACAATACCAATGTTTTAATTGTTTACGTATTTTAGGGTTTTGTTCTCAATTACTATAATATCCAATATATAAGACACTTAACTCAATTTTTTTAGAAATTTTGATACATAAGGAATGACATAACTTTTTTTACTGTTGAAGTAGAAGTTAACAACAGCAAAATACACTTTCATTTGACTTTATTTGCAATTACAAAAAGATCAAAAAAAAAACATTTAAAAATTAGACATTTTCTTTAAATATTTATATGGATTTTGTATATGGATTTTGACATTCCGTTTCTAACACACCGAAACATGGTTCATAGACCTTATTAAACTCTAACACGATCTAGCCATATCCATCCGTCTGTCTGTTGAAAGCATGATAGAGTCCGAACAGAAAGAGCTAGAAAAAATTTCAACAAATATTTTAATAGGTAAGGTTTATTTGACTTAAAAATGGGCAATATATCTATATCTACGTTTTCGCATAGCCCCCATACAAGTGGCCCCCCGAAAAACAGTTCTAACAGTCATAACTGTTGTAAATGTACTATTATAGCGATGATAATAGATAAGTTATGAGTATATGAGTTAAAATCTCTCCACAAATTTTTATGAAGATCGATCCACAATTGACCCTATCCCCCATATAAGGTCCCCTTCAGAAAAATACTTTAACGCTCATTACTGGCTTAGAAATACGATTATAGCAATGAAATTCAACATAAGTAGGTATATTACAAGTCAAAATATCTCTATTAAATCCTCAATATAAGTTCTACTTCAGAAAATGACTCCAACGCTCATTACTTACTTACAGATAAGAGTATACCGATGAAATTCGACATAAGTAATTCTCTTACAAAATCCTTATCCAAATTTTATGAGAATCGGTCCATAACTGACCCTAGCCCCTTATAAGGTCCCCTTCAGAAAATGTCTTTAACGCTAATTACTGGCTTAAATTTAGTTTCTTATAAGCCAAAATCTCTCTACCAAATTTTATGAGGATCGGTTCATAATCGATCATACTTCCATATAAGTTATCCTTTAGGAAATGACTTTAACTCTCATTACTTTCTTAGAAATACCAGTATAGCGATGAAATTCGACATATGTAAGTTCCTTACAAGCCAAAAACTCTCTACCAAATTTAGTGAGGATCGGTCGATAATTGACCCTTCCCCCAAATAAGGTGTCCTTCAGAAAATTACTATAACGACCATTGCTAGCTTAAAAATACGAATACAGAGATGCAATTCGTAAAAAATACTAAATTTTACAACAATTGATCCATAATTGACCCTACCGCCCATATATGATCATGTTTTAAAAATTTGACAAAATATTTTGTTTTTAAAAATTTATATTTTGTTTATTCGAAAGAGCTCGTTCCATTTTTGTTTTAAGCCCTATTCCAAATATCATCCTGATGATATAAGGGAACATTCCTTTTACTGCATACGGTTTGATGGTGGGTATATAAGAATCGCCATTGCCGAATATATCACCCTTACTTGTTTAAAGCATATTTTTGATATCTCTTCTAATTACATTATAAAACGATCTAGCAATTCTGTCAGCCGATGGAATACATGATACTCTTCAAAATATGTCACACAGTGTAACTAATAATACAAAACAGAATAAATCTACTAATCAGTTTTAAATCGGGGCAATAAATTCAGAAAGGATCTTTTAAATTTCATAAATTTACTTCACATATGTTAATGGTAGGTTATATATAAGATTCGACATGGTCGATAATACATAACACTCTCATTTTTGTTAATACTTCATCTGTCTTGAGTTTACAATGTACAATATACAAGAAGATGTTTCAAATTAACCTACTACCTTAGTAACAGCTCAAAATAAATAACATTTTAAGCAGAAGAAACAAATTAAAGTCAAATATATTTGTGGGAATATTTCCGCTTTTGTTTTTTTTCTTAATTCATTTTCTGATGGAAGAAAAGTCAATCTAAGTTAGATACAATTGTTATTTATAACTACAATAATAATTTGGTTGGATTCCAAATTGTTGTCACTTGTCGTAAGTGTGTATGTCCGACTGAATGACTGACTGACGACTGGGTATGTAAGTACATCTTTTTAAGTCTATTGTTTAATTTTGATAATGTACCGATGTAGTCTTACATAGTCGTACGTACTTGTGCGATTTCTTATTGGTTTAACAATGATGTGTAAACAAGAATACTACTACAACCAACAGTCATTATATAGCCTCCCTAACTGCCTGATTTTCTGTCTGTTTATCTGTTTGACTGATTGTCGCTCTATCTGGGCATTTGAATCTGCACAAAATTTGTTATAGGACGTACATTCATACATACTTCCATTATTTTATGGTGTAATATTACACAAGTTTCTTTATGTTTTATTTAATTGTAACGATATAAATGTAAAGGAAATGTTTTTATTTGTGTCACATGTTTCAAACTATAGTACATACATTTATACATATGTACATATATTAGACCGACTCACTCTGTATGAAAAGTAAAGTCACCCCTCTCAATATTTATCTTGCTTTATTTAATGATTATTCATTTTATTTAATGATTATTCCCTATATATCCGAAATATAATCAAAATTCCAAAAAAAAAAAAAATATAGACAAATTTTCAACTCGCTTGTTCAGGAAACTTTTTTGACAAGAGCGAAATGTTTCTAAATATTTTGTATGGGCTTTTTTATTATTATACCCTACATCACTATATAATGCGTTGTTGCTGATGTTTGTAACGCACAAACACCCACCTTAAAGTATACAGATCGACTCACTTTCTAAGTCCATTAAAACATGTCCGTTCGTCTGTGCGGCTGGCCTTGTGTTCATGTTTTATATAAAGACTGCCGACTTTTGAGATAATCGGTCCCTATTTTACCCTAGACCCCATACAAAACACACCCTCACCCTTTAAAAATGTCAACAATTGACTTATAACAATTCGTATTACGATGAAATCCAGTCAAAATTTTATGATGATCCTCAAAATTTTATGAGGATCGGCCCATAATTGTACCTAATTCCCATATAGATCCTCTTTTAAACAAATTGTTTTTCATCAATAAATTGCTTAAATAAAACGACCAAAATTGACTTATAACCATTAGTATCGCTATAAAATCCAGCATGGGGATTGGCCCATATTTGACCCGAATTCCCATATAGAATTAAATACATCGGAATTAAGAGAAAATTCAACATAAACGTTTTGTGTAAAAAATAAATTATATTTAAAATTTATTCATCGTAGACCCTTCTCGACTATACTTTTCAACTTCTTATTTTTTCATTTTGTACAATTATTTCTTCTTTTTTTTCAAATTTGAATTGATCACTTTTTTCCAAAGAGATTTCTATAAAATAAAATTTTAACAAATACAAAACTATTTACTCATCATTATTAGTTATACAACAATTATTAAATGACTTGACTATTCGTAATACTAGCATTAAAGTATTTAGGTCATTATCAAACAAATATTTTCTTTTTCCCAAAGGCAATAATGATTTTCTATCTTTTATTAATTGCTTGGGGTAATGATTTTGTGGCTGTATGTAAAACTTGCGACATTTCATTTCTGTTGCATCTTACCATAAACATCAATTAATTACTTTATTAAAGAGTTAAAGACCATATTATTTCTAATAAGAGCTACGATACAAATATGGTTACTAATTACTTGTAAGATTTGCATATTTTAATGACAATTTTAATTGTTCATAATTATGTTGAAGAGTTGAAATAGAGTGTTTGGTGTTTTTACATAATATTATTATTAATTAATTACAGTCAAACTCGTTTGTAACGAACTCCGCGGGACTAGTCAAATTTGTTCGTTATAAGCCAAGTTCGTAATAAGACAGGTGAAGTTTTTGTAGTTCCAAAAATAAAGTGGCATTTTACGAAATTTTAAGAATATGATTTATAAATTTTTTAATATTATTTACAAAAACACACCATTGATTTTATTTGTTTATATTTTTCTTAGCAAATTTAAGTTTTTTTTCAACAAAGCAAAATATGTCCTTATGATTTCAACACATAATTTTGAAGTTCGTTATAAAAAAGGAAAATTGTATCAAATTGTAATAACCGAGTTCTTTATAAGAGAAGTTTTTTGTATGAAAATAGTTACCAAAATAGCAGGACTTGAAAACTTGTTCGTAATAATCGAGAATTCGTTATAAGCGAGTTTGACTGTATGTGGACATTTTCTATTTTTTTATTGATTTTATTTTATAATTAATAGACAATTAGTAAATTTTAACAGATGTTTAATAGACTATAATAGTTTAATTTAAACCATCAAACATCTATAATGATAATGATGATTAACTTTTATTAATCTATTAACTTGCTGGTGGAGATAAATAATGAAAAATTGTTAAATGTTGGAAAAAAAATATTTATTTTAAATTAATTTTAACTTAAGTTATTAATCGAATTTGTTTAATACATTTTCATAAACTCATCTAAAAGATGGGAGTATGTACAATACAATGATTTCGTTTGCAACTCATTGAAATATGTGTGGGACATTAAATGATTCTAAGTCTTAGAATCTTAGAATCTTAGAATCTTAGGGTTCTATAGTTGAAACGAAAAGTCGACTTCTCGACTTTTTGCATTTAGTTAAAAGTCGACTTTTCGACCTTTCGACTTTTTCCATTTTATGAATGAGTCGATTTTTCGACTTTTCGACCTTTTTCATTTATTTAAAAGTCGACTTTTAGACTTTTCGACTTTTAGTATTTTATAAATGGTCGACTTTTCGACTTTTTCCGACTTTTCGACCTTTTTCGACTTTTTCCGACTTTTTCCGACTTTTTTCGACTTTTCGACTTTTTTCGACTTTTCGACTTTTTTCGACTTTTTCCGATTTTTCGACTTTTTGATTTTTTACGACTTTTTGACTATTTTCGATTTATTTCGACTTTTTTCGACTATTTTTTTACTTTTTTCGAGTTTTTCCGACTATT